GTTTTGGAGACACAGACTTCAGCTTTGCCACTTACTGGGTATGTTAACTTTGAACACATTTCCTCATCTGTTAGAGGTAAGAGTGCATATGATATTGGGTTGTTTGTGAGAATTGAAATGAAATAGCTTATGTAGATTACTTAGGATGGTGCCTGCCACAATAAAATTTTGTAGCTAATATGGTGATGATTTTGATCATTTAAATGTCTGGCACTGGAGTCGGGAATCTGTGTTTTAGATGTATGATCCAGGTTATTGTTATAAAACTAAAGGTTGGGAACCACTGATTTAGCTGAGAATGGCTTGATCACTATTTTTGCATTACTGTTTTTAGTGGAGAAAATTTTTTTCACTCTTCCCTGCAGTTATTTTTGAAGAAGAGAGGAGTTGGGGCAGTGAACAGAGAAGGTCGAATTACTAAAGGCACCTTACTCTCTCCTCGTTAATGCAGGGACATTGTATATAAAACCAACATCCTGCATCTTGTTATTTTAGTTCACATAGTTGAAAAGTGCTTAGCACAAAACTGCCTAATAATTAATTAGAATAATGTTCTTCTGTGCTTTTGGAAGGAAGATTAGGTTAATGAAAAAATTATGTATTTTCGATTTAGAATTTCTATTTTAAAACATTAAGGTTATTTATGTGTCATACCTATTGGCAATACTTCTCTCCACATGTTGACTTAATTTTTTTTTTTTTAGTGTGCATACCATGTACAGTTTAAAATTTTTATGTATTCAGACAGGAAGTTTTTTCCTTTATTATTTTTACTTTCGTCATGTGTAGAGAAACTATACCAGAGGATTGTTTTCCTCATTTTTTTTTTTTTTACATTTAAATCTTTAATTTATTTTTATTTATTGGGGGTATACAATGTGATGTTAACTTATTTTTGAAATGGTTAGATACTTGCTCAGTGCCATTTGTATGTAAGCAGTCCTTTTCACATTTCCTGAATATTCATGAAATTAGAGATTTAAGAAGAAAGAAGTGAAGACCTGATTTAGAGCTAGAAATTTAAGTTGTCTGGAGATTTAAATCTTTAACTTATTTTTATTTATTGGGGGTATACAATGTGATGTTAACTTATTTTTGAAATGGTTAGATACTTGCTCAGTGCCATTTGTATGTAAGCAGTCCTTTTCACATTTCCTGAATATTCATGAAATTAGAGATTTAAGAAGAAAGAAGTGAAGACCTGATTTAGAGCTAGAAATTTAAGTTGTCTGGAGATAATTTCTTGTTGAAAATGAGTGACCCAGGCACTGATCTTCAGTATTATGGGCAATGGCCTCCTTTACCTGGGCTGTAAGCATCTTTGTCTCTCTTACACAGTCATGGTGCAGGTCTCTGTGCCTCACAGTGGCATTGTTCGTCTGTGGTACTTCATTCAGGCTTCCACATGCTTATACCAGATATGCCTAAACTTATCCCTGACTCTAAATTGGGCATGGTTTCACCAAAGCGTTGTGACTATCATGGGCGTTTTTGTTCTGATTCAGTGTTTGTTTTTTATGATTGCAAAGAAATTTTCTCATCTCAAAAAAAAAAAAAAGAAGAAGAAGAAGAATAGCACCTTCCTCATTGGGTTGTGGAAATGAATTAGGATGTATAGAGTACTTAGATTAGTGACTGTCAATTTTTATTCTCAACATAATTGTTTGGTGGTTGTTACTGTTATAATATCTTTTATTTTAGGAACAAGGTAAATGTTACTCATAAGAGTGTTTTCTGGGTTTCAATATTCTAAGCTATTCTCGTCAGTGTTTTTGAAAGAAATATATCATGGACATTTTATATGAAAAATACTTTTTCAGTTTAATTTAAAAGTATAAAAGACTTTATGTTATCAGATTTCAGTAAACTTTAAGTCTGAGAACTGTTACTGTCCTAAGCATTATGTTAAATTCTCACTTTGATCTAGAGCATGAAATGTCTCAAATTTTGAAACATTTTCAAGTACTGAAATTTTGGGGAATTTTGTTTTTGGCCAGTTTTTTTTTTTTTTTTTTAAATAAATATAAGTTTGCAGGAAACTGTGGAGATACCCTGTGTTCAGTTTCCCTTGGTAGTAAAATCATACATGAGCATAGTGCAATACTGTTGCATCTGGAATACCTGTGTATCAATATAGTGCAATATTATTGCCCCCAAAATTGACATTGTATAACCGACAGATCAGTTTTCAGATATTACCAATTTTACATGCACTTGTGTGTATGTGTAGTTTTATGCAATTTTTCACATACGTGGATTCATGTAACCACTCCACAATCAGGATACAGAACTATTTATCACCACAGAGATTCTTTGTGCTACCCCTGATCAGTTTGCTTATAGATAAGCCACTGAGAGCTAGAAACATTAAACCATATGAAATTTTAGGATGAGCCATAGTAAAATTTTATTTCAGTTTCATCTATAGTGAAAAAACTACATTTGTGGACTTCACTGCTTTTGGATGTCACTATTTACTGAAGACATACCCACTTAGCTCAGCTTGCAGTTTTACCCCATTGAAAGTATTTAATAGAGTTAACTCCATGAATGTTGTATATCTAATATCCTGTTTCTAATAGTTTTAAGGAATAAAAGCAAAAGCAACTAATAACCAGAATTTGGATAACTACTTTTACCTTTTCAGTATTTTTAAGTTTTATTTATTTATTTTTTCTGTCCTGAAGGTACAGGTGTTATCTGTCTGCAGGTAAGTTGCTTATTCCTTACAGGAACAGTTACTGGTAATGTAATAAGTTTCTACTCTATATCTTGATCTTTAAAACCAATTCTTTGTGAGAGAATGTAAATTTGAGAGATAAGAAATTTAAATAAAATATGCCATCTCTTGCCAGCAGCACCTCAGTGTTTTATGATTTTTAAAAATAGTAAGCAGCATGTGTACTCACTAGTGCTTATGTTTTATATTTCCATTAAAGAAAGAAAGAAAAACATCCCTTCTATAAACTCTTTTCTGACATTAAATTATGGTCAAGAAACTTACCTAAACTTTGACTTTTCCCCTGCAGTTTCATCTGCATTGATTTTTTTACAGTGATTACATGATCTAGCAATTTCACTTGTGGGTATAATATACTCAAAAGAATCGAAAACGTATGTTCATAGAAAATTTGTGCATGAATATTCATAGCAGCATTATATATAATAGCCAAAAAGTGGAGAACAACCCAAATGTCTTCTCATGAATGGGTAAACAAAATGTATATATCATCCATAAAAATGGAATATTATTTGGTCATAAAAGAAAGAAGTGTACTGATAAATGCTACAGTGGATGAACCTTAAAAACATTAGTGAAAGACATGAGACTCAAAAGACCATATGCTATATGATTCCATTTATGTGAAATTCCTCTAACAGGCAAATCCATGGAGACCGAAAATAGATTTGTGGTCGTCTATGGCTGGGGCTTTGAGGAATGTAAGTTAAGGCAGAAGGTGGTATTATTACATAATTTCAAGCAGTATTTTTTACAGAAAAGTTTAGGGGTCATTTTCTTTGAGACTTTATTTTCCATTTTCATCTTGTATGACTATAAGGTTTGGCAGGGGAAGATGGAATAACCAGATTAGTTATTTCCTTTTTAGAACAAAGATGCGTTTTAGAGTTGATTATAAGTAAACTCTGGATTTGTTGAAAGAAAGCAGTGATGTTTTCTATATCTGAAAGATAGAGATCTCTATTTGAACTGGTTTGTTGTGAGGGTTAAATGGATGTGAAACACTTGAATCTGAAAAGAACTCTGTTATTACCACTACCACTGAACCTGTCTCTAGTATAAAAAGCAGGACTTAAAAAATACATGACCATTCTTGGGATAAACAGATTTCCTAATCAAGTCGTATGTTTTACTGGTCTGCACAGTTTCTTTTCTTTTTCTGGTTTATCAGCCCTTTAAATTAAGATATGTAACATGCTGTGCTTAAAAACGATGTTCCTTTAAAGGTAAATCAAAATACAATATAACTTTTCCCCATTGATGTAAAAATTTTGGCTTCATCGTTTATTATGCAGGAGGATACAGAATTGCTTAGTTAACATTTTAAAAACCACGGGTGCCTGAACCTGTTTTCAGAGATTTTGATTTAATAGATCTGGTTGGTGTGGGGCACTGACATTTGTGAGAGGTATGATCAGAGATCTTTGCAAATCTGAAATTTCATAGACCTTTCGATATAAAAATGGTAACTTATAATTGAATCTATAGTGAGAGAAAACAAAGCAACATCGTAGTGGAACATGAGGTGACCCGGTTTAATACTTCACCTGACTGATTCCTTACTTTAGTACCCAGTCTTCCACTGTAGTGAATTTCAAACTAGACTATTGTTTGAAAAAGAATAACATATGAAAAACATACGTTTTGTAATGTGAGGCATTGCTTTGTTTTGTTTTTGCTTCAACCTGCAGTCGAAGAAGAAAGACCACACTTGATTCTCCATTTTAGCTTGTATAAATAATATAGTGAAACTGAGATAATGCAGATAATGAAACTGAGCCATTCTGAATAGCAGCATGATTTCTTATTTTTCAATTTAAAACACCATACAAGTAGCTTGAACTGAGGATTAATTCGAAAATGTTTAAAGAGCCTCTCCTCCCTTTCCACCAGCATTTGTGGCATTTTAATTTTGCGTCAGGATAAGCAAATATTTTGTTGGGTGAAATGGATTTTATTCTGGGGGGAATGTGTATAGCCCATGAAGGAAAATTTTAGATGTATTACTATACTTTATGTCATCTGAGGAGGGGACTTTAATATATTAGGAGAGTTCCTGAGTGGAAAAGTTTTCCAGTCCGTAGTATATTCTACCCAAAGGATGTAAATTTCTATTTTTAAAATAATGGTACCCTAAGTAAGGGAGAAATCAATTTCCAAAAATCTTTAAATTACTCTAGCAATATTGAATCTGCAAAATTGGATTTGCAGTTTTGTTGCTGTAAAATAGAATAGTAAGTTATGTTGTCGAGTAAATTCCTTGTCAGTTTTGAACTGAAATACTCACATAGGACTCTTTCTGTCTTACTGTTAGGTGTAAAGATTTCTCTCTGTGTTACTGGAATCCCTATTGGATGCTGCCCTCTGATGTTTGTGGAATGAACTGCTTTTGGGAAGCGGCTTTTAGGTAGGCACTTAACATTTAATTGGTAGATCAGTGTAGGTAAGATTAGATAGTAGGTAATAAATTTTGACAATAAATAGGATGTAAAAATGTTTCTTTTCCTGTAATTTAATATTATCATTTAAGTAAATAATTCATTTTCTGATTGGATTTACTATTTTTCCCACTTTGTAGTTGTTATCACTGATTTTTAGTATATATTGCATATAAAATATTCTTTTTTCAAATATGTTATTATGATAAACCATCGTTTGTAGGAGAATTTATGATCTAATTTTAGGTAACAGGTGATAAAATGATAAATAGGTGATTTAAGGTAGACTTCCACTGACATTTACAGACGTACATATTTAAAGCTGGCATACTGAAGAAGACATTTTGTAGGTGGATGGAGGCAACTGGGTAAGGATTATGTTGATTATTGGCAGAGAGATTGAATATTGGGGAATGGGAGGATAAAGATAAGTGTTTAATGAAGGAACAAATGATATGGCATTGCTTATGGACCTTTCAAGTAGTTTGGCTTTGTTCACTTCCCTGGCTACGGAAGTCACTGGTTTGGCTTACTTCTCAGGTCTTGTGCTCCGACCTTCAATAAAAGAAACAAGTATTGATGGGAATGGGTATCAGACTGTCTCCCTGAGATAGTGTCAGGGGAGCAGGTGGCAGTAGCCTGAAATGCCCTTCCCAAGAGTAAAATTTATTTGAGAGTCACCTACTTTTCCTGTATATTTATGATTTATTTAATTTTTAATTCTACTCATTCAATTTGCCAGGCACAGGGCTAGGTGCTAAGAACCAGACTCTGAGTCTGGTTAACATGGCCATCCTTCTAGAGCTTATATTCTAACTGGAGCTTCACACTAGTAAACTTGAGATTACAACAGAGTGTGACATATTATAGCTATGATGGGAGAAACAGGTGTATCATCAGATGGGATCATCTTTAGGCATCAGGGAATGCTTCTTGGATGGAACGACTACATGATGAACAGGAAATTAGCCAGGCAAAGGACAGAAGATGAAGTATTCTAGGTGGGAAAAACTGCATTCTTAATATATATTAGTAGTATATATTTATATTTAAAATAATCTCCTCAACTGCAAGAGTAGCCCAGGGAAGTTGACCTAGTCTGAATCCTAGAGCCTCTGCTTATTATTCCTTTTGTTTTGACTTCTCTGACTCTTTATTCTAATTATTTTTCTGATGCTCCCAAGTATTTCTTGGAATTACATGTTGATGAATACATAATGTCTACCCTTGTGCTTGTTACCTTTTTAAATTTCAGGTTTTAAAAGTCATACTTCTCTGTTATACTCTCTACTTGTAATATCGAATTCATAGTATATATTTGTAACCATTTCATTTCTTACTTTGAACTTGGGATCCTTCACATTTATTCACTCTGTTCGAACATGCAGCCCAGCCAAAATGCCATACAATTGCCATATCATTCTCACCCTCCATTTCAGTATTTACTCTAATACCTCGTTTTGCATGACTCTAAGAGCTTGTCTGCCCTCCTCCTCATTTCAAGGAAGTAAAGTTTCTTCAAAATGCCCCTTTACTAACCACTTTAGGTTTCATATTTTGTCTGGCACTGGCAGACCTTTAGCTGGCACTGTTTTCTTCCCAGGCCTGTCTCAGCTTTCCCACTTCGAATTCTTTATATAATTTTATTTTGATCAAAGCTTATCTGGTGGGATTATCCCCCTTCAATTAATTTACTATACAATGGACATAAAATTACATAAAAAAGAAAAATTGTGTCAACATGTATCAATGTTTTTCACCTTTGATGTGTATATGCTTTTAATAATCTGTCTACATCGCTGAGTCATCGACTTAACCAGCTTCCTAGCAGCATGTCAGAATGCTCACACTTCTTAGGTCCCTTCTGTCTTTGAAACAAAACCAAACACAAAATCCCTACAACAGCTGCTTTCAACCCCTTTTTCCTTCAGGCATTCTTGTTTATGCTGTCTTCTCCAGCAGACTTTTTATAAGAGTATCTGCTGGCTTTACTTACTTAAACAAACAAACCCTTCACACCTTAACTCACCATAATCAGCATCTACCATCTGATTAGAAACTTTACTCTCATTGAAGTCATCTCTGGCCTCTGAATTGTTCTTCTGGGACGTAATCTTGCTTTTCTTGTCCTTTGGACACTGGTTACCATTTCTTGTTTCTTTCAACTCTTTCAGTCTCTGGAGACCAGTGTCTCAACTCTTTGGTCTCTCTACTCCTGGACTCCTTTCTCCATTCCTGACTGCTAATCATTGACGTTCCTTTGGACGCTGCTCTTTTCTCTCCCCATTGAGTATAATCTGTTTAACTGATCACCCCAACCCAGAGCCCTTATCTGAGCCATAGCACTGTATTGCCAGCTGCATATTGATCATTTTTTACTTTGCTGATTCAGATACCTCAGACACTCTTGTTCAAACTTGAATTCATAGTCTAGCTCCTTGCATTTTCCCTCATCTGTATTTTGTGTCTTGGTTTATAACTGGCTTTCCACATGTCAGTCCACAGTCACCTTCTCCTTTCACACTGTTGCTCCTGATTGCCTCTTCCTTCCTCTTCCCTTAACTACCATGCGCATCACTTCTTATCTAGCGAGTGTGATCTCGCTTCTCTGTCCACTGCTCTTCCCATCTCTGTGCTGTCTATTATTGATTGTACCTTCTTCATTTGTTGTAGTTGTGATTTTCCCCAGCACTTTGAGACTAGTTTAGATGTTTGTGTAAGCTTCCTTAGCAATCTCGATCTTTTTTTTCTATTTAAGTAATTACCATGATTTCTGATTAAATCTTTAAAAATTTTGTCTTTTCACAATAGGTAAATTGTGTGAGGTCAGGATTGTGGCTATCTTGCTTATCCCCAGTGTCTAGCATATTAAAGGAGGTCAAATATTCATTAAAAAGAACCTGCACCACCATTGTGTGAATGTAGTAAGGCGTCATCATAACCTTAGCATTATTGAGAGTTATAATTTTACCACTTACTAGGGTAAAATGATGGCTTATTACTGATTTATGTTTTGTTGACTGTTGAACATATTTCTTTATTTATTTAGCTTTTAAATTTTCTGTATTGATATTTTCCCTTTTGTTTTTAATGCTTATTTAATGAACTTTTAGAATTACAAGTTCTGCTTTTGCCATTAATTACAATATTTTCTTAATTTGTTTCATTTTTAATTTTAGATATCTTTTCATTTAATTTTAGATATCTCTTAATTTTACTACTATTATAAATATCTTTCAGAATACTATTTTTTCTATGACTTGAGCTTTTAAAATATTTAATCTTTATGGTGGGAATTGATTTTAGTTCATGGAGTCTATGGTAATAGGTGAATTTATTGTTATCTGTCTTTGCTTGAGTGGTTACATGATAGTTTTAAGAGAGATATTTTTACAGATTATTTTAAATTATTTTAGTAAATTAACATTTACATTTAATGTAGAATTTTTAGATATTTTATGCTTTGAATAACATCCCGAAGTTTTTAAATATTGCATTTTGTTTCAGAAGTGATGCATATACAATTCTTTAATGTAGTTTTGCCTAGTAGATAATTCAGCACAACTCTATTTCTTAATAGTAAGAGGAAAAACATTTTTTTAAAGCTATACATTAAGGAAATTATCATTAGTGTTTCTGAAGATAGTTTTCTATTTTGTTCAACTGCACAATTTTCAAGATAGTTCATGATAGTTATTTTGTAGTTTGGGGAAATTGTTATCAGAAATTTAATTTGTTTAGGGTATTTTTTTTTGGTCCTTAAATAATTTAATTTTTAATAATCGCTTTTGTGAAAAGTTACAATTATTTAGGAAAACTTGAAGAAATCCAACATAGTAAACAAATCTACTTAGGGACAACTACATGTGCCAATTTCAAATGTTTTCTATAATAAGTATAAATAATTCCATTTTTTCACATTAAAAAAGAATATTGATACACAAAAACTATTAAAATATCAACCTTAAAAGAATTAATGAAAACACTGAAGTTTCTTTGAAATCTTTAGGAAAAAAATTATAAAGGTTTATGTCAAGGAAACGACTTATGATGCCCCAAGTGACAAACATGTCAGCTAATGAAAGTAAAAGACATTAGAATTACAGATTGCCAATATTTTCTGGTCATAAGTCCAGACCCAAAAAAAAAGCAGCCTTTACCTCTGGGGAAAATGTGTTTCCCTTCCTTTTTTTTTTTTTTTTCCTAGAACAAGTATGACAGTAACACAAAGCACACAGAGAAATTGCAGGCCAAGGACAGAAAGAAATCTCATACTCATGGTTGTAGGGCTTTGCTGCCCGATGCAAAGGTTTCACTGGATGCCCGGTCACTGCCCAGCACACCAGGATACAGCATTAACACAGCAAATAAACCATCATTAAAGGCCACATCTTTCTCTGTGACTTCCTCGAATCTCATCCCTGTTGCCTTCCAATCTTATCTCTAAGGAGGTAGGATATTCAGAGACAATTATGTATTGTGGCTGGGAAGTGGTGCTGTCCAAAGGTTCATTAAGAAGAAGCATGAGATTTTGATAAATTTACTCTTGATTTGATTCCTTTTTTCCTAAGGAAGGCAACCAAAGTGCATCAATCAGCAAGGTCAACGCCCCCACTGCAGTGAGGAACTTGCCTGGTTCCATAACATGACCCAAAGCAGATATGTTACCTCAAGAAGACACTACAGTGTTTTCCCTAGAGAAGAAACACCTTCATTTAAATAATCTTAAAGTCCGAAATAAAATAAATAAAATGAACTCCAACAACAACCAGAAAATAGGTTATTATTATTCAGTTTCCTTATACCTCTAGGGCAGCATTTCAACATAATAAAAAATTTCCCTCATACATAAGGGTGCATTATATATGTACACATTTTTATGTACACCTCAGTTTTAGCTAACCTCTTTAGAAGTGAAGAAAGTGATAACCAAAAGAGTTAGACAACTTTCCACTAAAACATTGTAATTTTTTATAAGGTGCATATTGTAAAGAGCAGCTGTTTTGCTTTTCGGTATGAACTTAGTCTCAGCAGCCTCAGAATCACAGTCCATGGGAAAGGAACAAGGCGAGTAGGGAAAAACCATTAATTACTGATATCTGAAAAATGTCTGTTTTCCCTGAGCTTCTTGAGCTTCTTGTAGAGGGCCTGTGAGTCACAAGGATTCAGCTTCCTCTCTCTGAGCAATGTCGATGGAAGGCAGGTGAAGTGGCACTGTGTGTCCTTCCCCTTTTCTCGAAAGATGATGGAGTCCTAGCACATATTCCAAGTCCATGAACATCTTGGCCTTTCTCTTGTAGAAGAGAAGGTGCAGCCCCCAGCTGGATCTGACACTATCTGTTGCTGGTCACAAGCTTTGCTCTACGGCCACCTGGGATCCCCAGTTACCAAATTCAAGGCCATGACCCAGAGCTTATATTTCTTCTTCTGCTCAAATACACCCTTGAGCCCACTGTTGCCGGGACCGGCCCTCCAGAGGCATCAGTGTTTAGAGCATAGCACCATGTTGGCTAACAGCCAGGGCTGGCTCACCTGTTTCGGGTTAGCTGTAGTTACTTGAACTGAAAGCATTCGTTGCAGTAGTCGTTGCACTTGGCATTGCCAAAGTGATTGCAGGTGGGGACCTGGCAGTGCTGTTTGGGAGGCTCTTCAGGAATGGGCTCTCCCCAGTAGGCTCTGGGGCCCACACACTGGCTGAGGTGCTGGCACTCCATGCAGAGTTCCTCGTTGCGGCAGACCAGGATGTTCTTGCAGGAGACTCGGGCACACTTGGGTCTGGAGGCGCTCTGTGTGGTTTGAGGCACATCTCTACGCTGCTCATTCTCACTTGCTCTTCAATCCTTTTTGCTTCATGAAATCTCTAATTCTGAGCTTCAGCGAAACACTTCTGACAGTATCCTTCAAACACAGTGCTTCCGAGGGTGCCACATTCCCTCCCCAGGCAAGGTACAGCATTCTAGAACCTGGAGGCTGTGGGACTCGCTTTCCCTGAGGCAGCAACAGAATGTTTATTTTCTCTGTACTCGATGAAACACAGTGTGCAAAAGCCCTGGTTTTCTGGAGTCCCAAAATACATGCAGCTAGCTTTTCTGCACTTGCTTGTCCCCATCTTGTCCCCTAGAGTCCGTGTGGCCTGAGAGAGGCAGTCATAGGGGGCCTTGCTTCTAGTTCTGTGGCAAGAATGTGGAGAGGGACTCTGGATGAGCTGTGACGGGTCCCATGTGGATCTCTGAGGTTTGAGGAAGACTCTGCTGTAGTCCTTTTGAAGCAAGTACTGCAGATCCCATTAAATGTTCTGGTCATGTCCTGGATGCAGGCTCGGAACTTACTAGGATCTGAATACCTCGTGTTGATCGAGGGGTGACCCATATTAAGTTGCTGCTGTTGTGGCAACATTCACAAAACCCGTTGTTCAGCATGAATGGGCAGACGGAGCTCCTGCACTTCATAGCAGTGATCTTGCTGAACAGGAAAAGTCTGGGTGCTCTCGAAGGCACCGGAGGTCCCCCAGCTGGCTCCTCAGGACACCAGGCCATGGGCTCATAGGCCTCACCCCAAGAGGCCTCAAGCATCACGTCAGGGCCCAGCTTGGAGTTCAGCTTTGGGGATTTGTTCTGGTTCTTTTGATGCCTCTCTGAACATTCATGGCAAAAAGGCTGGGTGTTTACAGACATGAAGAAAGGACAGTTGGGCGTTTCACATTTTATGTCCATGAGAGAAAGCAGGAGAATAGAAGAAGGTTCCAGAGGATTCTGAGTGTGCAATTCTCTCCGCCCTTGCTTGTTCTCCTGCCACTTCTTGTACTCATGCTGGACAAGTTCAAAGTAATCACCTACCAGGTTTATTTCTTTTGGTAAGGTAGCTTCATCCAATTTTGCAGCATTAATCAAATGGGTGGTGCCATGATCCCAGCCTTGGACTGGGATTTCTGTCACCATCAAGTACTCTTTCAACAGCTTCTCCTTCATTTCATTTTCAGGATCTGTCAAAAAGTGAACTTTTAAGCCTTCAAATCACCCTCGCTCTCTGTTAACAATTGGAACAGCTCAGATTTCAGGCCCACTGTCCTTCAGAGTGACCAGGGGTACAAAGTGTTGGCTGTTGTAGCAGAGAACAATGGGGTATCTGTAGCATTCCTGAGCAGGCCAATGGAGAGGCAAGTAAATTCCACCCACCTTCAAAGGAGCAAAATTGGAACCTGATTCCAAACTTCTCAGCATCTTATCTGAAATGACAATGATCCGCCTTCTGAGGATGTTGCAAAGGACACAAATGTGGATTTTTCCAGTGAGTTATACTGAAGGCCACCGCGGGCCCCTGGTGGGTCCGTGGGTGTCATTTTGATAAGATCCCATTTATCATTCCAATTCATTTGTTTTTGGGGCCACAGGCTTCCTGACTTCTTGAAACCAGTTGAGCTTCTTCTTGCTTTCAAGGGAGGCCTAGATGTTTCTGTCGATGAAGACTTTTTGGATGAGCTCCCGAAATTGTGGACAAAACTGCCAAGTTCTGAACATTTCCAGTGTGTTTGGGTGGATGGATTTAAAATGTGAATGATCCCTTTGATAGGTTTAAAAATGTCTTCCGGAGTTCTCTCTCTGATCATAGCTTTCTGCATATTGCTCAAATAGAAAGCCAAACGAAGTAGTCGCTTAGCCTTCGTGCTCCACAGCACCCGTCCGGGCCGTGCGATCCTCTCCCCGAGGTCCCTAGTCCAGGTCAGGGAAGGCGGACGCCGCAGTTCGTGGTCGGGGTCAGAGACGGGGGAAGACGGCTCCCCTGGATGCCCAGGCTCGGGGATCGCTCCCGCCGCGGCCGCCACTGCTGTTCTGCGGCTACTCTTGCTGCTCCTGCCGCTCTGTCCCCGCGAGCTCTGAGCACTCGGCACCTGAGCATTCGGCACCTGGCCCGCTGCGCAGGCTGTAGAGTGCCAGTTCTTTTTCCTTTCTGTTTTATCGCCTTGGTTAGCGAGGGATTTCCACCCAGGGCCTTTCTGAGTCACGTAACGCCGCCATTCCGAAGGGAGCCGACGGCCCCACAAGGGGGCGCAGCTAATTTGTTTAGTTCGACTTTATATACTTCATAATGTGAATTCCTTGTCTAAATATTATAATTTTTTTTTATAGAGAGAGCATTAGTTTAATAAAAGGCTAAAAGAATACACTGGAAAGCTTTTTCATGCTATCTAAATAAAAAGCCAGAAGGAAAATTACAGTTGACTCTTGAGCTTGTAAATTTAAGAGAAAGAAATAATCAGCCATCCCTGCTACTGCAAATCTCAGTAATGTATAATAGAATTATTAATGTTAAACAACGTAACTTCTAATCCTTATACCTTTTTCAGAAAAGGTTTCTGTAAGCAAAAATTGAGTTAAAGTCATTGTATATTTTTAGTTTGGAATGTTTGTATTTTATAATACTTCAATGTGTTATTAGTTTTGTTTTATGTTGTCTCTCATTCTTACATTCTTTTAGCTGTCAGTTCCAGAAGGATTACTTTATGCCATAATTACAGATGAGATCTTTATTTGATGTTATAAATATGTTATTTTATGTATCATTACAGTATAGTCACACATACTTAGTTTTGTTCTTTAGGTACTAATAGATTATTATTAGTTCAGTATTAAGGTGCAAGAAGTTTGAAAGGTTACTTAGGCCTGGTGTTCTATACTGCTGTTCTGTGTTAGAAGTAGGGTCTCACATAGCCTAGGCCAATAACTTGGGTTTTAGAGAATCTTTCCTTCCAAAATGACATACTAGTGTTCGACTAGTATGTTTTAGAACATCTCAGAAATTTTTACGTCTCACGGATTACTTAGTAAATGGGACTGAATGTATGTCAGTGAGAGAAATTATGTGAAGGAAACTTCTCTTGTAATCATCGTGGTTGAAGATCGGATATAATACTGAAATATTAACGGATGAATTTATGTCTGTTTGCTTCAGAATGATCCATTGGTTAGTGAAAGGGGATGTAGGCAGGGATTTTAGATGAAATAAGAACACTTTTGAGTGGATAATTGTTACAGCTGGAGCATGAGTACACGGAGATCTTTTGTATTCTTTACTTTTATGTTTTTGAGATTTTTTAAATAAAAAAATTTAAAAATTGAATAGAAGACCTTCAAATTCGTGATGTTACCTTTCTCAGTTGTGGGGCTCCTTGAGAGATTTAAGCCCTAATGCCCTAAGGCATCCAGTGTGAGTAATGAAATAACCTCTCTCCCGTGCATCTAGAATGGTGCTAGTTCTCAATTCTTGAGAATTGAGAAGTAGTCCTTTTTTTGTGTTTTATGGTTCCTAATGAGGAACATTGGTTGAGAAAGGCTTGTTGAGGGTATAGAAACATCATGATTCAACATTGTATTGTTTTGTAATTGGATGTTTCTTTGCTTTTTAAATAGAAGTTTTGAACTTCGGTTTTTGAACATAGTCAAAATACCATGTTGACATGTTACTCTATGTTAAAACCTTTGGAAAATGTGATTCTCTTTTCTATTAGGTATAGTCTGAAAATACAGCCTGTACAGAGAATACACCTGGCTGTCGTTGCCTGTGGTGAAAGACTGGAAGAAACTATCACCATGCTCAAGTCAGCTATCATTTTCAGCATCAAACCTCTTCAATTCCATATTTTTGCCGAAGATCAACTACACGATAGTTTTAGAGGCATCGTAAGTATTTGAGACTTAAGTCTGTAGAGTTGAATATTTAATGGTGTACGATAATAGAATGTTGTTTTATTTCTTCACTGAACAAAAATATTCTGTAACTCTGCCTTCCTGGAGTGTTCTTTGCTGCCACTTTCTTCTAAGAGTCCAGATCTAGGGTGTAAGATGAAGGTATGTTTTTGAAGGGGTGGGCTACATAAAGTCCTTTGCCAATCATGGAGGTTTTAATTTACTAACTATAGTTCCAGGATGTTTTGACTGAGAAGTCCTACGATTTAATTTTGTTCTCCTTGGCTTGGGCGCGCCTCAATCGAAGTGTGCACAGAAGTTTTAATTCTGTTTTGAGGGGAGGAAATTCTTGATTGACAATGTGAAAGGAAGTGGCTTCTTGCTCTGATAAGAAATTTGGTTTTGTATTAGTTCAGTTAATTTGGCAGAAAACCTAAAATAACAGTGGCTTAAACAAGGTAGAAGTTTATTTCTCATGTAAAAGTAGGCAGTCTGTGGTCTATGGCAGCTCCACTTTTTGGGCACTCTGGCTTCTCTCTTGTGGCTGAACCTTCTTTAATACAAGGCTTCTTACTTCATGGTCTAATATGGCTTCTCAAGCGCTACCTATTACACCTCTATTCCAGCCAGCATGAGGGAGGGAAGAGGGAAGAGGGCCGTGCTCTCCTATCCCCTCCTTCCCTGTAAGGACACTTTCCATGACATTCCTGCAAATATCTCATTGGTCTGAACTTAGTCATGTTACCACATTTACCTGTCTATGAGGATCTAAAATATACTCTTAATTGGGGCAGTCATATAACCTCTTTAACAGAAAAAACATTACTAGAGGATAACAGATAGATATAGGGGGGAAGAACATGTAAGATAAAGAAAAATCACCTGAAATCTCACTACTTTGTGTTCTGAAATGGTGGTAAAGATGATAATGATTATTACTGTCCCCCCTGCCCCCCACAGTGAACACTAAATTAAGCTTTCACGCTGATTTGGATTTTTATGCTTGGTCTAACTAGAAAAAAATGTATTTGATTTTTTTTGAAGTTAAATTAGTTCATTTTGCATATTGAGTGAAAAATATTACTTATGACCTCAAGTCTTTTAGTTTTCTACCAAAATCTTTGATTCTAAGAGATATAAAGTTTTACTTACTGTTTTAAAATATTTCTAGTATCTGTATTCTTGATATGAGCTTTTGTGATCTTGATCTCTTTATCTGGATTGTTTTCTAAAATATGAACTGAGGAATTAAATTTATCCTAACAGTTCAGAAAATAGCAACAGGTTGCTACCAACTGTGGTAGTAATGTAACTTAAAAAATAAATAAGTAAATAAATTTATTGCTTCATCTTGTATGCAGCCTCCTTATTGTGTTCAGATCTGGCTGCCTATTGCTTGTGTAATACATACTGCATTTTAAATTTAGTTTTTCCTTATCATAGTCAACTCTGAGAATGTTTGGTTTTGCTTCCGATGAAAGAGTATCAGATATTTTATGGAGCATGTTTTTACTGTAAAAAAGAAGACTAAATTTTAGAATGTTAAATAAAAAATTATTAAGATTTCATTTTGAAGTTGATATGACTTATAAGTTACACAGGGAAAATAAATTGCTAGTGTTTTAAACTAACAGATATCAAAGTAAAGTGTTGGAAGTAAAGATATTTCTTTAAACTATGTTGAGAGGCATTAATGTTTTAAAATATCAGTTGAACACAGTCATAATTCAAAAAGAACATCATTAGCCTGTTACATAAACTACTTAGTTTTTATTTTCCCCCATTGATCATAAATGGTCTGTAGGAAATTTGAATCAACAATTCTATTGAAACAACAATAGTTAATACTTAAACTGAATTTGAAACAATTCAGTGTCTTTAAGTGCATTCAGGATACTAAAGAGTAAATGTGTTCATTATAGATTTTCAGATCTGTTTTTGTAATGATTTTTTTTAGAAGTTGGCATTGGATATGTATTTATCAGAATAATTTATTATCAGGAATAGCTATCATATTAAAAGTACATAGATAAAGAGATATTTTCTAGTCAGTTTCATATTGGTCTTTGAATGTAAACATTTTTCATTACATCGTACATGTTGAGGTAATAAAATTCGTGCTTAATTTTTCTGAGTTTAATTTGTTTAGAGGTTGAGAAGATTTATACGTCTCGTAAAGCTGAGAGAGATAAACAACGTGCAAGGCTCTCTCAGCTTTCTAATTTTGTGATTGGTATCCTTATAACTTCATTATGCCTCCAGTTTTGTGGTAGAGTCTTTCTAGCATAATTACTGTGATTTTAAGATTTTGAATGAAAACAAAATGGTGAGAAGACTCTGACTTTCTCTTAACTGAACAACATAAAATGTGTAGTATCTTAATTTTTAACTTAAAAAAATAATCTATTGCTTTATGATTTTACAGCGGGAATCGAAACATCTAAACTAAGCTCTTATTTTTTAATATTTTTTAGCTCGACAACTGGTCATTTCTACAAACATTTAACTATTCATTATACCCAATAATTTTTCCAAGTGAGAATGCTGCGGAGTGGAAAAAGCTCTTTAAACCATGCGCTTCCCAGAGATTGTTCTTGCCAGTAAGTCCCCCCCAATCCCCGCAGTGTTTTGGGTTTGTTTTTTTGTTCTGACTCTTGCTTTTACACACATGAGTTAATGAAGAGCTGCATATAAATCAGTTAAATAAACTTACACACATATGATTTTCCCTTTGAGCATTAGGGGGAAAAAACCCTATAGAACAAATAAAAGCTATGATAAAAAATCTCTGTTAAAATGAAAAATGTGATTTCTGCTGAAATACTATTTCTTACATTTTTAATTTAATCAGTTGCTATCAACTTTTTACCTTTAAGAAGGAACAGAGGTCGTCAGATTTTAATAGAGCTAACTAAGTCTGTTGCCAGCAGAAAGGCAGTGGCAATATCACTTTCAAGTTGCAGACTACATTTATAATTTGGAAAATGAAGTGATTGAATCGTTAAGTAACCAAGCCAATTTACCTTTCTAATTGATACTTTAACACAGACACAAAATCTAAGGTGTGTGAATTCAAAGGAACATGAGAGAACTAGTCAGTGGGGCTGTTTTTCAGTGTTATTTTCTATTTATATACCCTAATTGTTATTATTTTATCCTAAAAATATTCAGAAGCGAGGATACCTGTTTAATTTTGATTTGATTTTACTCACAATTTTAAGATTCACAGTAGTTAAATTATAACCACTATAACGTTTAAAATAGTTACGACAGCAGAAATACAGAATTTAAGAAGCTCACAAGTTTCTGGAAAATATATGAATTATGGGGAAGAAATTTCAGTTACTTATTAGTATTAAGTGGATTAAGGAAATTCTTAGCATGTTAAGAATATAGTTTATGGAAACCAGGGTGTCAGTAAGAGTTAAAGTTATAATTTTGATAGCTGAGTCTGCCTAATATATCTTTGTTGCTGTACATAAAAAATTTTGATTCTAGAATCTTTCTTACTCTCCACTCCCATTGTAAGAAGTATACAAATAAAGGATTAAGATAGGAAAAAAAGCCGAAGAAGTTTAGATACTTCATGTAGGCTTTTTAAATTAAAATTTTTTCTAGGTTGAAGCATTACAGTGTCACATTCATTTAATTCATAATTTGAGTGCCCCTTTTTTTTTTTTTTGCCAAGTATCTGTACTGAAGTACTAGGTTATGTAGAAATGAGTGGAACAGCTAGGTTTCTTGTTTTCATAGAGCTTATTGTCTGATGTAGGAGACAGACATTAAACAAACAATAGGACATTAAACAAACACAAATACATTACTGAGAAAACAATGTGATAAGAGAAGCATGAGTTCATAGCCATTTTTCTTCTGCATTATTAACATATTTAATTGTTGATGTTGTGATTTGCCAGATCATATAATGATGTAATCTGGTTAAATTCCTAAATGGAATTTGAAATACTAAAATAAAATACTTAAAATCTGTCAAATTGTCCTCAGACTTCACTGTTACTTCTGCATCTTTTTAATCAGATTTAAGTAAATACTTTGTTTTTCTAAATGATAAACTTTTAAACTGAGTTTTTCTTCTTTTAAAATAGATGGATGAAAAGAACTAATGTGAATTCTGCCAGTTCCTTTTTCCCCTGAAAGGAACCATAGAAAATTACTGATGTGGTTATTATTTAACTTTATGTTTGATCTCCAGTTAGCAGTGGCTCCCAACAGTGAACTTGGAGCTTTATGCAGTGTCTTTGTAGTCTGCAACAGTACAGTAAGCTGTAGACACACACACATGGTATTATAGTACAGAAGCAGAATGTCAATATCAAAACAATTCCCCTCATTTTCCTGTTTCCCCCAAAAGAGACAGAGACAGATAGACACATACACACATACCCTTTTAATTTGGGTCTTTGAACAAATGAACCTTGCCTACTCAGGCACTGCAGTAAACCATCAGATTTTTTTTTCAGCCTGATAGGGGAAATGGGGTGATTTCAGTTTCCTAGCTGCTCATTAAGGTGATAGCTTAAACTTAGCTGCAAGACAAGGTAGCATCTTTGAAAAGGAGCATTATGAGGATCAAGTTCTTATTCTCCTTATATTCTTAACTAAAAAGGTTTAGGTTAAGGAAATTATTGAGCCTTACTAATACACTGGGATAGGCAGTAAATTTAAATTTGCAGGAATCAGATTCTAAAGTCGATGGGTAAGATAGAAATAAAAATATTATCCTTGAAAATCCCCGCAGAAGAAATGTTGGAGATTTCACAGAAAGTAACAACATAGACAGTTTTTCTTCCCAAGACAAACTCTTGTTTTCACCCTTATTAAATGTGTGCACATTTTTTTGATTTGTTGGAGGAGAGTAAGCACAGAAATAAGGGCATTGACTCTGGAGCTAGGTGGTCTGGGTTCCAGTTTTGGCTCTACAATTTACTAGTTGAGACCAAAATGATGTAAAGGTACCAGCCATTAGTCTTACAGGCTGAAGGAACAAGTTCAGATCTTCATTCGTATTGGTTTATTTCTATATTTATCTCAAGAAATTAAAATTTGAGATATAAATTCACCTAAGTTAATTTTCTTTCCATTGTGAAAAACATTTTCTTTCTATTCTTTCAGGATGTTGCTTTTATTTTATTCTTGAATTTGTTTTGAGTTTTTGTTCTGATTTGTTTTTTTATAGATTTTTTTCTCTAAAAGTTAATACAAAGATTAGCACAGTATCTCTGTATATGCTATCGTAAAAAGTGACAAGTTTAGAAAAAATACTTTAAAAAGTTAATGTTAATTAGCTTATCTCTTAGGCATTTTTTAAATAATTAAAGCCTCTTTTATGTATTATTAAATAAATAGTATAGTTAATGATTTAAATCTCTCTCCTCATAGTTAATCCTGAAGGAAGTTGACTCACTATTGTATGTCGACACTGATATCCTTTTTTTGCGGCCCGTTGATGATATTTGGTCTTTACTAAAGAAATTTAATTCCACACAAATTGCTGCAATGGCACCAGAACATGAAGAGCCTCGGATAGGATGGTATAATCGCTTTGCCAGACATCCATACTATGGCAAAACTGGAGTAAACTCTGGAGTTATGTTGATGAACATGACTAGAATAAGACGGAAGTATTTCAAGGTAAGTCAGTGATACAGGTAGTTGGTTAGCAGTTTTCTGTTTTTCTTCCAAATTGTTTGGTTTATAATTTAGATTTGCTTTGTTAAACACTAGAATGAACTATTCAGACTTTTTCCATTCATCTAAATTAATTGAAGAAATTTGTGTTCTTAGTATTCTGTTTATTAGAGCATTACAGTAGGTGAAATCAAATGGCATTATAATGAAGTAAATGCAAACATCATCTTCCTAGATTGTTATTCCAGACAGTAGTTGTGATTTTGTAATTGTGCAGCCATAGAATACTTGAATCTAAAATAAAGTATGATAGATCTTACGGGGACACAGGGTTGTGGTTAAGACTCTGGAGCCTGCTGGCTTGGTTCACACTTTGCAGCCTTAGGTACCTTTTGAACATCTCTGGGCTTCAGTTTTCTCATCCCTGAAATGAGGATGACAAGATAACAGTACCTATGTCATAGGGCTTTTGTAAGAATGAAATTAGAACAGTGGCTAACACATAGTAAATGTACAGATCATGGTACATAGTAAGCACTTAAATGTTAGCTAAAAACAGTGACTTTTGAAACACCTGTATAGACTTACTTTTATCCTTTTACAACTAGTTAGAACTAAAGTATACATTAAAGGATATTATGTCTTTTATAATATGAGTATATATGTATGTTTGTATACACATATATTTGTCAGATATTTTTCTTATGGCTTCTGGTGGACCAGAATTTTTACCGTTATTTATTACTCCTTTCTATATGTCTGATTTAAATCTTTACCTCATTTAGAATTGTTGCCTCTTATCTTTGGTCTAGGCAGCAGTACTGCTTGTAGCCATCACCACCCACATCCTGACATTTTAGTCTTAGGACAGTTCATGCTCATCATTCTTACCTTCTGTAGATCTAGTAAACCTAGGGTTTTTTTTTTTTTTTCTTCAGCTTACTCATTTTCTGAACTTTTCCGAAATCTTGATTTCCTTTGTTTTGTCTTTTACAATTGAGTGCATTAATGAGGCTGGTGTAACTTGTGCTCTTGCTTAACAGTGAATATCTTTCTTCAGTTATCCAATTTGTTAATATATCTTGAGTTTTAAAATTTCGTTTATCATAAAGTTTTACTAAATAAAACAGATAATAATAATAGCATGAGTTTTCTTCCTTTTCTGGTTGTTCGACTGTGCACAGTAACATTATACCAGAAGATGGTGCTGTAAGATTATCCGCTAAGGAATGATGTGCCTTCTCAATAACTCTTCATTTAAAATATGAGATGTTTAATGTTGCAAAGAACCTTAAAGATAATTTAGTGTAACACCATATTCAGTTTTTAAATAATTTTAAAATACAGCCATGTGGTTCAAATCTATGATTATTTTTATTTACCTTTTACTTATTTAAACATCATTCTTAAATACTTTAACAGTTTCTCCGTATCCCTCCTCCCTCCTTTTTTTGTCTGTGGCATGTCCTAAACCAGCTAGAAATATAGATATGGGAGATGAAATAATTTTGACATTTTCAAACTTTTGTTTTCTTCTGTGCATTAATGACTTAATGAAGAAAAATATGAGAGGCATGATTGTAGATTAATTCATAGGTACAATTTAGTTCACACCTATCTCTATTCCAGACAACCCTATTCTTGCCCCGCAGGAACAATGCAGATTTGCTTTGTTTTCAAATATTATTATATTCCTGATTGCTAGGCTGTCTCTACAAAATTTATTGATTTTTTTTAAAATTCCTTTTTCATATATCTTTTTTTGTTTTCCTGATTGTTTTCCAGACTATGACTGTAGCAGACATTGCCTTGTTTTTTCCTACTAATTCTACAATTTCTGGCACATATCTTAAATTGTAGAGTTCTAGTATTATAACTGATTTACTGTAATCATTTTCCAAAGTGTTTCATATAGATTCATGAATGTTGTCCCATGATTCTTATCACATGAAAAGCTGTAAGACTACCCATTTATGATAATTGCCATGTTTTAAGTTCTTATTGCTTTCCTATCTCCCAGTCCATACCATTCATGACTGTTGAGTTCCAACCTGATGTATTATAGTTATATATATTAAAAATTAAACAAGTAAATATTGTGCTTTTTTGTCCTTTGTTTCTTATAATGCTTGGTAAATGATAACATAAAACTGGTTAAGCTATTTTTTGTATTTTGTGTTATGATTATATGTGCAGTGTTGAATATTAGTATGTTTCTTAACCTTTTTCTATTAGAGAAAAAAACAAAGGAAAAAAATAAGGCATTTTGAGAATCCTTTGCTTGTATGTTTACCCTGTTTATGTCCTGCCAAATACTACTATGCAGAATAATTTTTATTTGTTATCTCCACCTACTGAGGGCAGGTTGTCTCTCTTGTACAACTTTGTATTCAGAATATTTACCATGGATTCTGGCATAAAGTGACAACTTAGTAATTACTAGCAGAAGACAGATGAAAGTTTTAGAAACTTAATAATTAATGAATTATTGGAAACACTGGAAAAGAGAACACTTACTATTAGGTGGACGTGATGGTTGTTTTTACATATTGGAAAGATGTACTGATGGAGAACTTTTATTGAATGCTATAGCTTCTGAAAACAATATCAGCGAATATTTTACCAAGAGAGATAGAACTTTTTAGTGCTTAGTAGAGTGACTAATCTTTAGGAATTAATGAGTTCCAGTTTCTAGCATTGTTTGAGCATAATGTGAATAGCCACCTGTCCATTTTATATTTATATATATAATAGACTGATAATGATAATGAGCCTATCTATTTTCAAAAACATACATAATTCTAAAAATGAATCTAATCGATCTTAATATAATGTGTATTTTGGTAGTAGGTTTGCTAAATTAGTAAATTTTTAAAAAATTATAAAACTAAATCATGCTTATAGAAATTTAAACAATTCATTGTATGTAGAATAAAAAGACATACTCTCCCCAATTTCATTTCTTTGCCCACTGAGATAAACTTTACTATGTACCATATTTTTCAGACCCTTTTAAAAATTATTTCGAAACTGATGTATGTGTACATTTAGCGCTTATATATAGCATCCTTTTATACATCTTCAGCTTGCTTTTTTTTTACTTAGTAAATATGTAATTGACTGCTTTTTATGTCAGTACACATAGTCTGTCACATTTTTAATGTGTTTATGGTATTGCAGAGAATAGATGATTTGATTTCATTGTATGTCTTAGTATGAACATGTAGTTATATGGCTGAAAAGTAGCTCATATATTTTAATTTGTATTTTCCTAACTATACTACCAGTACGGATAATAATCTTTTCATATAATTTTACCCATTTCTGTTTCTTCCTTTGTGAATGGCCATTTGTCCATATCCTTGGACTATTTCTCTACCTCGTTGTTTTTCTATTTTTATTGACTTAAACTCCTTTTATATGTAATGCCTCTTTATTAAGCTCATTTCTAATTGTTTTTTCATTTATTGTCTTGGATATTCTGGTTTATATCATCAGCAGATAATATTAGTGTTATTGCTTCTTATCCAATGTTTTTCTAGTAGAACTTTTCTTTAAGTTATAAAGGTCTCCCCCCGACCCTGCACTTTGGTTTTTTTTCCATAAGGCTGCACTGGACTTTGTAATATATCTTTCATTGATTTTCCTTTGAATAGGTATTCTTTATATCTGTCTTTCTATATTTGAATAGATTGAATTTAGTGAAGACTTGAGCACGGCATGTTACATTGGGTCCACCAGTCCCATCTATTGAAAGTCTTGCTGGTCTTTTTCCTTGTGCAATTCATAGTTTCCTTTTCAGATCCTGAGGACATTTAGTTAACATGCTCAGTAGCTTATTTCAGTCACTTTCCAGATTTTTTTTGCAGGGGGGATATCTGATTATTTTATAGTTACTTTGCATTCTGAGAAAGTTCACACAAGGATAGTACAATCATAGCAGATCATATTTAGTTAAATATGTAGATATTTTCCCAAGACTTCTAGCTTTTCTTTCTCTTAAAGGATAGATTGTTTATACCTCCATCAAGTTTACAGTGTATCCTAGAATAGCTTATAATGTTTTTCAAACTATCTATAGAGAAGGATCAATTTTTTAAAAATTTACAATCATGAGCCAATACTTTTCTAAAAATGATATAAATAAGTTACAAGAAAAGATTAAATAGACATAAAATTTTTCTGTTAAATTGCTATAAAATTTTCTAAATTTTGCTCTTAATTTCTGTTCTTAATCTTATAGAGGTCATAAAAATTTCACCAATAGCCATGCTGCAAACTGTACTTTGGGAACACTGGTTTAAGTCTGGGGAGTTTAGGAGGGTCAGTAGGTATAAGAGGTTTTAGTATTCAAATTTACCCCTTTATACCCCAGATTCATATGATCCACCTCTTTTGTTTTCTTAGATATTTGACTTTGTGTTAAAACAGTGAGCTTTGAGCAATTCCATAGAGTTTGGAAAGGCACCTGATGAAATTCAGTATCTGTTTTTGATTTATCAATTTCAAATGATCTCTATGAAGTGCCAGTTAGAAAAGATTAGCAAATCAGTGTAAGAGTAATAGTGATCATGACAACCATAGTAATAGCTGAGTATGTACTGTGTGTCAGGTACTGTTCCTAGTACTTTTTATTTATATATTAACAGGTTTAATCCTCACCAACTCTATGACATAGACATAGACAGAGATACGAAAATGCTCTGCCTTTAAAGATGGGGATACAGGACTTAAATTGTCAC